AGGGATTCGCTGCAATTACATGAGGTTTATTGAAGAACTGATAAATTGACAAATACCAGTGCACTGGGGTTCTCTTGCATGCAGGCAAAAAGAACCCCAAACTAAAGCTAAGGGCAGTTTATATACCCTTCTCACAGAATTTACAAGGACTTAATATCCATAAGAGATTTTAAACAGCCGTTTTCAGGACCGGTTTCCTTTCCAAGGCTCTGGTTTCTAAGTAACTCAAATTTGCACCATATCTTTTTACAATGAAGAGAGTTAGCTTAAGTAGCTTCTGTTTACCCAGGTGTACTGTATTAAGGGCCCAGCTTCTTATGTTGGGCTCTGTGCTTTTCCTAGGATGTGTCCTGGGCCAGTTAATTCTTGAGTTTACTGACAGCTGTGATTCTTGAGACCTGAAATTCCTATATTTCTACACATGCTGTATGCTCTTCATTTGCCCCATGGAGATAAAATCCCAGATCAGAAACAGCCACAGAAAGGCTCCAGCAGATCATGTTAGGCCCTCTGGTTTTCAAGGATTCTTCTGCCCTTAGTCACTTGTTACTCTGAAGGACCTATTTTAAAGTTCTTCCTCTCTTTCAGTCTGCAAAACTATATGCTCTGCATATTCAGAGTTTTCTCTATAATATGAATTCAAGAGTTTCTATTTCTGCCCTGTGTATCTGGAGTTCTACATGCTTCTTGTATATATCTGGATGTGCTTTACTGTCCATGAATTTGGGGACAATTTGGGGAAAATTCCTCTATATTGTCTTAAACTCCTAATACCTCTCCCCGTATGATTCACTCTGTTGGTGAGCCTTTCCATTGAGCATTTGATTTAATGAATTTTTATTCTCTAGCCTCAACTACAATTTTTAATGGAGTTTTAATCTTTAAACCACCAACCAAAGAGTATACTTGGGCTGGTCTAAGATCCTCCCTCCCCCCAACACATAGGTAGCAGAGGACTACGTTGTCTGGCCTCAGTGGGCAAGGATGCACCTAATCTTTTAGAGATTTGATGCCCCAGGGAAGGCAGATGCCTGGTGGTGGGAAGCCTTCTCAGAGGCAAAGGAGAAGGGGATGAGGTGAAGAACTCTGGAGGGAGGATCAGGAGTGGGGCTAACATCTGGAATGTAAATAAATAAAATTAATTTTTAGAGAAGTTCTGATGTGTGGGATGGTCAGCAAAGGTCAAGTGAACTTGGGTGTCTAAGACCCAACAGTATGAATGCTGACGGCCCTGGGGAAATGGGTGGGTGGACATCTGGTGACTCTGACAGGACAGGCAGTGGGTAGTTGAGAGGCCTATCAAGCACTGCAAGATGGTAGATCTGAAGTCTCTGAGGCATTGGGAAATTAACTCAGTGGGGTGGGTGGGAGGGTGGGAGACAAGAAGGTTGACCTGATTCCCATTCTGTTTCAAAGTTAAGGCCTCTAATTCTTTATACTGTAACATATATATAACCAAATACATAAATTCAATTTGCTGAATACATTTAGTATAGCTTGTATATAGAGATATACAGACAGACAAGATAGGCAAGCAGATGGACAGACAGACAGATATTAGAGATGAACATAGGAACTGAATAACTGTTTAGGGAGCTCATCTCTGGGTAAAACTAACTCTGCCACTCTGCAGTTTTTTATTGCTTGTGACTCTTCACCTAAGTGTGACAACCCATGCAATTTCCCACATCCACTTCTGCACATCAACTGGTGGTGTCATTGTTCAGGTCTGTTTAATGGCCACATTGTTGAGAATTCACAGGTATTTCATTCCAGTCATATGTAGAAGACTCAGTCTTACAGTAGACTTTCCAGTCTTTTGACTCTTGTAGTCTTTCCACACCCTCTTGTGCAGTGTTGTCTGTCTTAGGTGTAAGGCTTATGTTGTAATCTATCAACTGAGGCTGAGAACTGCATAGATAGTTGCTCTCTGTTTTGTGAGTAGTTATGGATTTCTGACATGATCCCTGACTGCTGTGAAAAGAAGCATCTTTGATGGGTGATGAGTGAGAGTCCCACATACCTGTGGGATAAGAATTGATGAGCAGTTAGGAATTATAATTTGGATAGGAAACTGGCTTCAGTGGGTTCTCTTCTGAGACCTATGACCTCACTAGTCACATATGGTTGGTTAGGTTTTCAGTTACCAGACATGGTTTTCTTCCTGTTCAGACAGCCTGAAATCAAACTAGACAATGCTGTGTTATCATCAACACACAAATGCCACAATTGCACCTTTATAGTTATCACAATGTAATGATAATCATTGTGCTTCATAGGTGTCACAGCTAGATCAGTTATTACTTTCCTCCCTTGGCAACATGACAGCACCTTCTGATATTCTGAAAGCTAGTCATTAGGGAAAGACTTCTGGATCAAATTCAGCTTGACATCCCTAAGTCCTGTATCTGAAGTGTGTGGTATCTTCAGAAAAGTGACCTTCAACTTCTGTGGCTTAAGTAAGGGCAACAGCAATTTGGGGAGTATCATGGACACCACTGTCAAACAACTCAAAAGAAGTTTCTCATGCCTGACAATGAAGTTTCTGTTAGTCTATGACTCAGAGGAAGACATTGTCAACCACTGGAAGTATCATGACTTCATTTAAAGGATATAAACATGTAGGCATGTGTTCCTATATATACTATAAATAACTTAGGTAAATATGAAATAGTGATTCCCAATGTAGTCTTTTTCCATAGTTGTGTTTTAACTCTTTTTCCAAGTTAATCTTTGTGTCTTCTGAAGTATCCAAGCCAGTGTGATTTTCAGAAATGTTATTACCTTAAAAATCTGGGCCACATTAAATGCTTGTCAGAATTCTCCCAGAATTTACCCGTCAGTGCTTGCAGTGTTCACTGGATGCATAATCTCTTGGAAGCTCTGAACCTCAGTTTGTCTTGATTTCCAACCACATGGGCCCAAAGAACACAGTACTGGGGAGCATACAACTTGCACTTCTGAACAGCAGGAAGCAGGGCCCATTGTGATCTCTTAGGAGTCTGCCTACAGCAGAGGCCATGTCCCACTTCTACTTAGACAAAAGGGGGAACTTGCAGTTAGTGGACATACTTTTCAAATCAGTCTTTCTGCCCCTTGTCCTGTGTCATTCCCTCAATATATGATAACTACACAATGAGGCCAGAGTTCTAAAGGACCTACCTTAGTAAAGGTTTCCCTAAGGTTGAGAACCCAGCCAGGAGAAATATTGCTTCTTTTACATTGAATGTACTGCTCGGTCCTTGTAGGGTTAGTGCCATGCATGGGTTCATTTTAGTGAAAATAAAGGAATTTAATGGAAATGAACTTTGCTCATTTAAAGAAAATACAGGAATTTAAAGAGAACTTAAAACTGATAATAAAGGCTGCAGTGGGTAACTTCACAGAGTAAGTGAAGTCTGACTTAGACCAATACATGTGAGGAAATTTGTAGGCGAAAGTGAAACCTGAACAAGAGGACTCATTCTATCCATGTCAGCAATAGAAGCAGCAAGCTAGAGAAGAGGGGAAAGGCAATACTGGATTTCATGTGGATCGAGGGAGGGTCTCACTTTAATATAAGAGGAAACATCAAGGCTTTGTCCTGATTTAATTAATAATTAGCATTTCTTTCCTCTCTTCTCCATTCAGCTTCTTCCATACAGAGCCATGTCTTGGGACTACAGCTTTAATGTATTCTTTCAGAATTTTAAGAGGGAAAGCAAAATCATCTCTGAGGACAACATGACCTTGATTGAGGCTTACATACAGAAAAAACAGCTTCAGAAAGCTGTTTCTGTAATTGAAAATGCACTGAAAAACATTGAGAGTGCTCCTCTGAACATAGCTGTGACAGGGGAAACAGGCACAGGGAAATCCACTTTCATCAATGCCCTGAGGGGGGTGGGACAGGAAGAAGAAGGTGCAGCTGCCACTGGGGTAGTAGAGACAACCATGAAGAGAATTGCATACCCACATCCAAAGCTTCAGAAGGTGACAATATGGGACCTGCCTGGCATTGGGTCCACTAACTTCCCACCAGAAAGCTACCTAACAGAAATGAAGTTCAACGAGTACGACTTCTTCATTATCATCTCGTCTACACGCTTCAAAGAAAATGATGCACAACTGGCCAAAGCCATTGAAATGATGGGGATGAATTTCTACTTTGTCAGAACCAAGATAGACAATGACTTAGACAATGAGCAGAAGAGTAAACCTAAGACTTTCAATAAGGAGAAGGTCCTCATGAAAATTAGAGATGACTGTTCAGAGCACCTTCAGGAGGCTCTCTTCCATGAGCCGCCTGTCTTCCTAGTCTCTAACTTTCATATGTCAGACTATGACTTCCCAAAGCTGGAAACCAAACTCCTAGAGGGTCTCCCAGCCCACAAGCGCCACATCTTCTTGCTGTCTTTGCAAAGTCTTACTGAGGCCACCATTAAGTATAAGAGAGATTCCCTGAAGCAAAAAGTCTTCCTGGAGGCTGTAAGGGCTGGAACTTTGGCATCCATTCCATTTGGAGGCATGATCATGGGTGAGTTAGAGAATCTAGATGAAACATTCAATCTCTACAGGTCTTACTTTGGGCTGGATGATGCCTCACTGGAAAACTATGCCAAGGATTTTAACATGTCTGTGAATGACTTTAAGGTACACCTTCGGTTTCCCCATTTGTTTGCAGAAGGCAATGATGAGTCCTTAGAAAACAAGCTATCAAAATATATCAAACGAATTTCTTTGGCTATTGGTGGGCCAGTCGCTTCAGTCATTTATTATAAGAGGGCTTACTATTTGCAGAATCTCTTTATTGATGCTGCAGCCAATGATGCAATCGCTCTTCTGAATAATAAGGGGCTTTTTGAGAAGGAGGAGGGACCATATATATCTATGCCCGTCGACTACTGGGAATAATGAAAAAAATGAGGCATCAGTTCCAATCAGTGTTTACTCTTAGCCTCGCTTTGGGTTCTGACTCATAGCCTACTCTTGGGGATGGGTGGGGGGAGTCTCTGTGGAGGGCAAGCGCATTCATCTTTTTCCTTTTCCTGAGCTGCGAGATCACCATGGCAAGTGCTCAATCGTGCTGCACTAGTAGAAAAAGAAGCATCTTCAACATTGTACACATAGGTGAGCAAAGTTCATTTCCATTAAAATAAATATGTTAAAAAAACACACACGATATGGATTTGGTTTGCATATTTTCTCCTCAAGATTCCTGGATCTTTTATCTTGCAGAAGTCTTCATGGGCTTCTGCATTCTCACAGGCAGCTCTGTTTGTCCCATTGCTATGAGTGGTTTTTGAAACAGGGGCATCTGATACCCTACATGGTGTAGACAAACACAGTGTAACCCAACAGGTATACCCACAATGAATGTCTCAGGAGATTCCAGATGTTGTCAAGTTAACAATTAACACTAATAACTCCATGTACTAACCAAATCTGGGTTCTTTGGTGACAATGGTAGTATTGGTGCTTTGTCAATAAAGCATTTAAGCACCTCCACTTTGCTTATTCCTAAGTGTATAGATGTATAGACGATTATTTTAAGCTAGTCACTCTGATATGCTCTGCCACATAAGACTTTATTTTTTACATCTATTTGTTCTTTGAACTCTGTGGCCATCCCTCTTTCCAGGCTCTACTCACACTTTTCTCCATTCAGATCAGTGTTCAGCTCATGGGAGATAACAAGCATTGACACCATATTCTCTCTCTGATTTTCCTTCCTAATACTCTCCACTGAACAGTCTGCCCTTGGTAGACACTGACCCGCCTCTGTGTCCTGCTGTAGAGGCTCCCACACCTACTTTGAGTCCTGAAGATGAATGTGAGCATGTGGAGAGATGTGCCCTCCCATGCTCCTAAAATACACACCTCGACTCTGTGTAGAAGAAACATTCACTACCCAATGTTAGCTCAGACTTTAATCAGCTTCAGTGTGCTTCAGTACTTGACAGAGGAAAGCTGTTGCTGACATCTTTCAGAAAGAATTTGTCAGCAGCTGGCATGGGCTGTGAAGGGAAGCTAGCCATCCCAAGGTGGCAAACATGGCTCTGGCAGGCCTTGCCCTCCTCCTCCATTATCTCTGTCTTGCTAAAAAACAAATAAACAAACACACAAACAAGCAAAACTCATTAGATTGTATTACTAGAGCTACCCACCAATGTCTATCCTGTTTATTAGAACACTTCCTCTTACTGAGGTCAACTACCAAGGTCTAGTTGTCAAAGAATTCACATCCAGACATCAAAAGCCACTTTTGGTTACCATATTAACACGTCCAATAAAAATTAAACACCTCATCCTAACACAGGATTTCCCTATTTGCCTTTATAAACTGCCATTTACCTATGAGCCACAAGATCCTTAGCTACAAATATATTTTCCCCTTCTCCCTTATTCACTTCCCTTTCCTCCCTCCATCTAGTCTTCTGTGTTTGTCTTTTATTCCCTGCCCTTTGACCCTATGGGACAAATAAATCTCTTTTGTGCTGAGAACTTGGTCTTGTGGTCCTGAGCCAACACACTTTCATCTTGTTCGTAATGAAGTCTGTCTGTGAGGATGGGAGCCCCCTGGTTCTAGTTAGAGGTAAGTACATTACAAGTACACATCACTTCCCACTGAGAATAATATGCTTCTGCCTCCTCAGACTGTGACATCTTCCTAGTACCCCTTCTCCCTCATTCTGGTTTATTTAGTCCACTGACAGGTTAGAATGGCTGCAGAAGGAGAACCTGTGGGAAAGGGACTGCTGTCTTGAGGCTGTGTCTCTGATATTCTGGAGACAAAGTCATCCCTTCCCCCAGCACACACAGCCTGTCACATTCTTAGTCTTGTCTAAGCCCTGAACATAATGCCTCCTTGGTTTCATTGTGAGTGTCACAACACAATTCTAGGAGCTGAAGAACTGGGGTACAGCAGCTGAATTCATCATTCTGGCAGCTCTAACTTGAGTTTCTGTCCTACCATATCTCGAGAAGAGCAGGGGAGAAAGGAGAGCAGCCACTTTTGCCCCTGGATAGCAAGTTGAGACACAGAAAGAGTGAACGATTCCTCTGTTCACACAGAGGAATAGAGTCTTTGAAAACAAAATCTGCTCACCTCAGAGCTAGGACACACCAATTTCTATGAGAGGAACACCAGGGTCCTTTCATTAGTTACAAAAGAAATTCTGTGAGGCAATCGTCCTGCATCAATCAAAGGCACAAGGCAACATTCACGGTACAAATACGTCTGTGGATATCTTTCCATTTGTATTTTTCTGTGTGTTTGAAGAGAAGTCAGTCTACATACCTGTGTGTTTGCGTGTAAGTGATGAACCATTTATTGTAGCTACACACCAGCCTTTACAGTTAACAGTCAAGTATGAAGACCATGAGTTCAGCATGTTCTTAGGGCATGGAAATGCTGTGGTAAATGACTAATGATCAAATCTCTGTGAGGACAAGAGTGTTGAGCACAGGACTGAAAGGACAACTCAGAAACAATCCTCACATACTACAGAACCCAAGAGAGTAAAGGGAGAACCGTCTGCCATGTGCATTATGCAATGGTTAACGTTTCCATGTCTTTCCACAATGAATCCATCATTAAACAGGAAAACCAAAGGCTTACTTTAAACAGGATAGCTTGGAAGAGTTTCAGCTCTGTAGCTACAAGCAGGAAGTAACTGTGTGAAGGTCTGTGCTTGCAGCCAACCTCATTGTAACAATAAGTGACTGCAGACTCTTCCCATTGGCCCAGCCACGTCTGAAAAAACAGCAAAGTATGAGAAGTGCCATAGTGACCTAAGATCAGCTAAAGTTTGTGAACATTGGGATGCCTTTTGTGTCTATGTGTGTAGTGTGTGTGGGTATGGAAAGACATATATTCAAGCCTGGGTCACTGTAACCTGGAATGTATATTGAATATATTGAGTGGCTCTTACTCATTTCACTACATTGTTAAGGACAGTCACTGCCAGCCACTTAACATGAGAAACTGTGAGCACAAGCCAGGGGACAGTCCAGGTCCAGCTCTGGATAGGAATTACTGCCAGTTCTGCACAGGACTTACTGAATGGGAGGTGAGCAAACCAAGCCCTGGCCAGGGAGCACTGTCTGCCCCTCTTCCCAGCAAGCCTCAAGTCAGGATCGTTCCAGGTTCAGCAAATAAATGCAGCTGCCCAGTGAAGTAAGAACACTCCAGGCCAGGGCTTCTGCATGCATGGGTGAGGCTTAGGAACCAATGCTCAGAACTGAGAGAAAAGGAAAATGTCAGCACTGCTGGGGATTTGTGAGCTAGAGATGATGAAAGTCTCAGGGGAGGCTGGAGGTCTGAAGAAAGAACATCCAAGATAAGCACTCACAGTTCTTAAAGATGGAACAGAAATATCTGAACACACACACGCGCGCACACACACACACGTACACTTCCAGCCTTCACTCTCTTCTCTGATCTCCCTTCCACACACAGTCCAAGGAATCTTAAAGGTTTGCCCCATGTTTGAATCCAGGATCCAACTGTGTTTGTCCTTTAATTCCTCCACCCAGCACTGAGCTCAGCAGAGCCTGTCATAAACCACCACTCCCACTTCCTGTTTATCCTCCTAACAGCAGGAAGTGGTACAGACCTTTCAAAACCTTGCTTCTGAAAGCCTGGGAAGCTTGAAATGACAAACTGTCACTGTTTTCTAACTAAGATGTCACAGTGGAGTATTATGAAAGATGTGTGTCATTTTATGGGTATTGATCTCAGTAATTAACAACATAATGCAAATGCTTATGGATAATGTTACCACAATTGATTTTAAAAGAAAGTAAGAAAGATAAAAGTGTCCAGAGTCATTGCTCAGTACAGGACGGTGTCACAATTACAACTCTGTTAAGTAGAGGATGCTGGGGCCTGAGGCCACCCTCACCCCTTGATAGGTGAACTGGGAGAAGTCAGACACTGAGAGATCAGGGGAAAGTAGAACTAAAAAAGAGCAGCCTGGGTCCTGAGCTGAAGAGAAATCTGAAGGCATTCATTCCGTAGATATCTGGAAACATGTGGACCAAGGTGTTTGGTGCAGGGCATGACAGGTTTTCAGGAACAGAGAATTGTAGGAAGGAAAAGGTTTGCCAGGGAAGGGGCAATGAGCCTGAGACAATGATATAAATTGTGTCCAAAGACAACTGTGTGTAAAGGGACAAATTTTATCCTGGGTGGTCACAACACACACATGTCTGCTTACTCCAGATAGAGAGCCCACCACAGACCAAGGTACAGATACCACCAAAGTCCAACTTGTTGAGCCAAAGGCTTTTATTGGGATTTCTAACAGCAGCAGGAAATACACAAAGACAGCTGCATCACCAAGGCCCACCCCTGCATGAGTGACAGCTCAGGAAAGCTGGGAACCTGGAGCAGCTCAGCAGCTCAAAGAGTGTTCTTTACAAATGATTCTGGTCTAACCCTCTTCCAGGCATCTCTGGGTTTCTGCTTCTCCCAGGAAGCTGGTCTGGATGCAGAGTCTTCTGTGCAGCTCAGCTTCATTAGTCTGAGAAGGATTCTTAGATTTTATTGCTTACCCTGGCAGGGAAGGTTCTAATTAAAGTAGTCAGTTTCAGTACTTCTGCTTTTGTCTGCCCATGGTTGAGCCCTCATTCATATTCTCTCTCTTTCTCTCTCTTTCTCTCTCTCTCTCTCTC